GCTTTCTGTGTTTTCAGGGACTGCTTCGTCGTTATTTGAGTGATTTCTTTGCTTGTCACGGATGCAAACCGGCCCGCCAGTTTTTCCCAAGTTGCTCGGAGGTAAATAGCAAAGGATATTCGGAGTTTGACTAGCCAATCAGAGCGCGCCTTCAACGCTATCCACTGTTTTAGCATATACTAATATTGGTTATTTTTAAGGCTACCGCTATTATACCAATGATATATCGAAAAATGTAAATTTAGATATGCCAACATAGGTACTTTACTGGATAATAATAAATTATTATTGGTAAACCTAACAACACCCATACCAATAATGGAAGATTATTGGAATTCCTGAACACCTTTACCAATAAAATACCAATGGTATACCAATTTCGATCAACATTTAACTCTAACATCTGCCAATATTGGTATTTCATTGGATACATGATTGGTAGTTCTAGCAAGATACATACCAATAATGGAAGATCATTGGAATTCCCGAACATATTCACCAATAAGATACCAGTGGTATACCAATTTAGGTGAACATTTCACTATAACATCTGCCAATATTGGCATTTCATTGGATAATGATTGGGAGTTCTAGCAACATACATACCAATAATGGAAGATTATTGGAATTTCCATAAGGTCATGGTGGTAGCAAGTATGATAGATATTGTAAGAAATAGACAACTTTTTCGAGAGACATGTTTCGGCATGCTTATGCCATCTTCAATCAATGAGTAACTGAACGCGAGTAATTATGTAGCATACAAGTCGATGAATAAAATATTTACAGCGTGATGTAATACAAAAGCGGGTACTAATTACAACTTGACACCAAACGTCAAAGGTGTGAACTAAAACGCTAGAAAAGTGTTATAATGCTGTAATTGTTTGTTAAGTTTAGGTTTGGTCTTATTTATATAAAAAGTGTCTGAGTTTTAAATCGATTGAGTTGTTAGCAGAATCCAGAATACTAAAGCAAGAAAAGTATACCAATTTAGGTGAACATTTCACCATAACATCTGCCAATATTGGCATTTCATTGGATAATGATTGGGAGTGATAAAATTTGTCAGATGTAATCAAATATATGTTGAAAAATGGCAAAGAAGGAAATATTGGCCAAACCCAAATGATCATGACGTTTTTCCATTTCAAAATCTCACACTTTAATTTCCATAGTGTGGCAAACATTTAAGACATGACACCCAAAAAAGAGTACAAATATTAAAAAGATATTAAAGCAAACAGTTGGAATAGATCTGCCACTCATTAGATATGATTTTTCCGTGGTAGCGACATTGATCAAAAAGAAAGTGATGTGCAAAACATAAGCCTTATTACATTGTTACCCCTTCTGGTAAGTCTGTAGAGGCCATACTTTTGCATTAAATAGGTTTCTTTATCAACTTGTGTGCTGTAGAGAGGGTTATTTGTAAATACTGCACTCTGGGGAGCCACCTTTCAGCCACGGAAAAGTTTTGAAATATGGACCACACATGGATGCCACCTCTATAATTATTGCCTCATTTAACCATTCCTCATTGTAAATGGGACAGTACAGTGTCATTTAAAGATTAAAGAAAATAAAAACTCCTTCATATATTACTTAGCAACTTTAACATTACCACTATCTTCACTTGCTAGTGGTATATTTGGTTCTTTTTTTCTAGTGGTATTCTATTATGAATTTTGCATGTTCTCCTCAGTTTGAGCTTCACAATAGAATGTGTCCGTATGAGATTCTTTTGAATAAATGGTGGTATTCTTTTCAATTTTAAGTAGGACATTTACTATAAGTTATATCTGATTTCTAAAGAAGCTCAGTATGTGGAAGAAGGGCAACTACTCTTGTTGGTTTTAACTTTGCCCTCCTGTCCAAGGGTGCTTGAGACTCGCTAATTAAACTGTTTTACTTTCTCTGGATTGGTTAGGTGCTTCCCTCCAACAGAATAGCATTTGTCAACAATTTATAAAAACTAGTGCACAAGTGTGAGAACTTGCATTAGTGTACAGGGGAAAGTTACTTTGCAAACACTGTAGATGATCCTATTTTAGACAGGAGGACTATACCTGAGAGGCAAAATTTGTTTGCATGGTTCATATGATTGTGATCCTCTGTATATATTATGAATAAAAACAGGAACTTAACATGGGTTATATAAACAGGAAACTATAACAGTTTTCCACCAAGAACATGACATTGAACAGGTCAATGAATTAAAAATTTGACTAAGAACTTGGTTACTAAATCAGATAAGAAATCGGACTAGTATTATTACAAAGATTCGGGTATTTCCTCCTTAGCTTGGAGCGGTATTTAAAACATTAATTTTCCTTCTCCCTAAGTTTTTTTAGTGTGATTGTCTGTATAAAAGGTCAATAACCAAATTGCTCAGGTAGAATTAATATTAAGATTAGCTATTATTTATCAAGGGAATATAAAAATATTGGCAGGCACATTAAAAAGGATACCATATCACTCCTCTTTTCAGCTTTTAGGGTAGAACAATCTTTCCTTCTCCCTTGGGCTAGCAGTGAAATTAAAAAAAAAGAAAAAAATGGATACCACAAGAACTGAAAATTGCAGTTTTTTTTTTTAATAGTAAATCTTGTGCCATATTGAAAGATAACTTTAACACTAGGGATTTAGGTATCCCACTTTATTTAATGCTCAGGATAAACAAGTAATTATTATGCCATTAAATCAATCATGGCCAAACTGAATGAAGTGGGCCAAAACATACCTAAACAAGTGAAAAAAATTATAATCACATTCTTAGGCAGCGAAAAAGAAATATTTATTTTCTTCCTTACGAACATCTGGTTTTTAGATTTCTTTTTTTGTCGGTGAAGTGATCAAGTATGTGAGTGATTGTAAAAGTTTGAACTGACATGTAACATGTTCTTGGTAAACTACCATGCTGTTATTTGTAACGAATATTCAAGAATCTTATCCTGTGGTAAGCAATAGGATTCTATGACATTCTAATTTGATGGTGCATAATTGAAACTGTGTAATCTTTTAAAGATTGAAAGAAAGGAACTACGATATAAACAAACTGTAGAGTTCAGTATATCAACTTGCAATTATTAGTCCATTTTCTATCAGATTGAGTTACTGGTAAGTTAAAATAGTTTTCTAAAATTTGCAGAGCAGGTTCAATCTTCTCTTAAATGTTTAGTTTAAAATGTAATTCATTTTCTGTTTTGCCATCTACAGAATTTTGATGTTCAGTGTAGAATGTCAACTTGAGTAGTCACTTTTTTAAAATATTATGATTAAGAATTGTGTACAGCTTTTCAAACATAAACGGGAAATTGAAAAACCAGACTGTTGGTTTCGTTTACAACTGGTCTAAGTTTCAATCTTATATTTGAAGGAGTCGTATCAACTAAGAATGACAAGGTAGTTATAAGTCTCAAAAATGGATTTGAAAATTTTGATTTTTTGTCACCTACCTATCAGCCTGGGGATCCCATTCCTGGGTTCAGCATTGTTACTTTCATGAGAATTTGAAACATCAGTGGCAAAGAACATTCACTTATTGTTCAGAATCTTGGCTTCTCTTGAAAAATCCATGCAAGCAGGCTCTGCCTGGATGGGGTGCCTTTTCTTTTTTTAAGATGAGGAATATGTCACATATTTGTTCAGTAGAAAAGTCTAAGGAACTACCTCCTTGTACTGTGTGTAAACTTGCTGTTAAATGTTTTGAAAAGACCCACTAAACAGTGCCACATTTGACTTCAAATGAAAGTTTTTCCCTATGGAAGTCTACCCTTCTGGACCAGTATAATGAAAACCATTTTCTGTAAAAATTTTATTGAATGCTGAAATTTTTGTAAAAAAATGTTTTTACATATTCCACAAGGACTCCTTATTGTTAAACAGACACTCATCTGATTGCTGCTTATCAAGATGATGTACTTTAAACACCTTCCAAGTCCAACAATTAGTTAAAAGAGATGCAAAGGACACCACTTCATCAAACTATTATGATGTACTATTAGATTGGTCTGAAAAGCCAAATCTACAATTTGGCAACTCACAGGTTTTTGAAGCATATTTTAGTGAAATTTCTTCAGAGGTTATTTCACAGGTTTTAAAAGCAAAATTTCTTCAAATTTTGCTCACGTGTTTTTTTCACAGTTCTTAAAATTCACAGGGTTTTTTCACAGGTTCTAAATTTTGTGATTTTTCACCAAAATTTAGCCCTTGCAAAATTCACAGATTTTTTCACAGGGTGTTTCTGTGTCAGATAATATTTCACACGTTGTTCACAGGTTTTTCACAGGTCCTCATCCAATAGTGATGATCTAATGGATCTAAGGAGCCTTTGATTAGTTTTGAATTTATCTTGTTCTCATGGATACCAATTTAAGGGCAAACATCTATATCACTTCTTCAAACTCTTGTAATGATCGTTAATCAAATGTTAATCAAATCTATTAGTGGATTTAGAAACATGAAAATGCTTCCATGTGGCATGATCTTGTAATTCTTGATTTGTTGGGGAAATCTGCAAGAGAGTGTTTCAAATGAGCTTGATCAAGGAGGCAAAATGTGATAACTTTGTAAAGGCCAACTGACAAAATATTGTTACAGTGAGTAAATTGTGTCCCTAACCTAACTTCTATTCTGTCATGAGCATTCAGCAAAATGCAGCAATTAATATCTAATGACTGCAGCAAAAGTTGGTCAGCCAGTTGTTGGGTTTTTTTTCCCCATTAGTTTGATGTTATTGTATGTAATTTTATTTACCTAACAGCCTGATGACCTGGCAGAAAGCATCTTTTCTTCTCAAGAAGAAGAAGAAGAGCACACAACTGATGTCACAGCAGAGGTATCCCTTTTTCAGGTGTTACATACTATAAATACTCTGTGCAAACTATCTTAATGACAAGATGCGATCTATCCTTAGGTAATAACACGCTGTAAACTATCTTTAATGTCTGTCTAATTTTAAATAGTTTCGTGTGTCTTTTGTGTTTGCTATAATTTTATTTATTCATTTTGTGTATCACTGTGTATGTAGAAATCAGGTCATTAAAAACTTTAGTCCTTCACAGTAAAAACGTTGCTTTACAACAATAGGAACTTGCTTTTCCCCCTTTGGCAACTGGTATACACGCAATCTTTTTGGCAAGGCATACCACAGATTTATCTCTGTTGGATCAGCCGCCAGCTGGTGCTGCAACTGAGGCTGTTTTATCTTTTGGAGTTCCAAACCTCTCTTGGAACAATGTACAGGATTTCAGGTAGGTAAGAGAAGCTTTGGAGGAGTGTGATTAAAAGTATGTCGTCTCTCATTGTAATGATCTGTTATTGTTTTGCAAACCTACTTGTAATTTCAGCTTGAATAGTTTTGTAAATAAGTTAAACAGTATATGCTAGTTGATGTTTTTCATTCTTTTTATGACTTTCCAGTGGGAGAATGAAAATGGCAAGTAATAAATTACTCATTGGTCATTGATCTACAGGGAAAAAAAATTAATATTAGGTGTAAAGTACACAATTTTTATTTTTCAACAGCATAAGTCTAAATAACCTAAGTTGCCATTGAATTTGTATAAAATTATTTACCTAACAACTAAATTAGAGCTTAAAGCAACTTTTTTTCTAGAAGGCATGAGAGAATATGTCACATTGGCAGAAAATTGACTTAATTTTCATATTTTGATTGGAGTTACCCTAGAACTTAGAAATGTGATATGGTTTTTTTACCCAGATCTGCTTCTGTATTATGGATATCAGTGTCTGTTTCAGTTTTGGTGACTATTCTAGAATTCAGACTGAAGCAGATCTTGGCAAAACTGCCGTAATGATATTGTGATTGAAAACTCAGCATGGGGTATCTCTGAGCACAATATGGAGGTTTGCAATTTTTTTACCATTTGCCATGCTTTTTGACTTTGGCATGGAAATGATAAGTGTATTTTGGTGACTGCATTAAGTAGAATTTAAGCACAAAAGTAACAGGCTTTAGCTCAATTGGATAAGGCAGGCATGTACCAAATAAAATGTGCAGAAAAGGAAAACATTCATTACTCTTTCTGTGTCTTTTGTTTCTGGTTTTTGTTTTTTTGTTTTGCTTCAATGTTACTAGACCAAATCCACCAGTGGAGCATTATGAAGGGGGTGGCTGCTCTCGTGGCGTACTAGTGGTGGGTAAACTACTCTAAAGTAGAACTAAACTTATATAATCTTTTTATTATTACAACTATTTTTTGGCTGAAATACACAACTATTGTGCTGATTCATCAACTGCAGTCATTTTTTACAAATTATTTCTCCTTAGTCATACATAGGTCTTCAAAGTTGAAGAATTTGTGGTTTTTTATTCATTTATTAGTAACTGAAAAATGCCTACTGCTGACTTTGTGATTTTATGCAAGGATTGATTTGATTTAGAGATTTACCGTAAGGCAGGTGTAGAAACAATAGGACTCTAAGTCCCCTACTAGGTTTCTATACCCTAAATACTCACCCAACCCACCCCAGGGGGAGGACATCCACACAGTAATCTCGTGCATGGGAAATTAAAGTCTCCTACCCCTAACCTTGCAGGAGACAAGGCCTACGGTTTATTGGTCCTTATCCGGGAAGACTAGAATATCTATCCATTTCTTGATATTATAGAAAGGTAGCAAATTCTCCTCAGTTATTTTAAGACCATGAGTATTGGTCCGGCTGGGGCTCGAACCCTCAACCTCCCGCACATCACAATCCGGCGCTCTAACCACTCTCTTGCTCTAACCGCACTCTTGCTCTAACCGCACTCTTGTGACACAAGAACTGAACCAACTGTGATCATGCAGAGATGATTATCAGAATATTTTAACAGCGAAAAAGTTAGTAGCACACTGGGCATTCTCCTAACTGTTTTGATAATCACCAGAACTCCAGCAGATTGTAGGTCTTTTTTTTCTTTCAGGATGATGACAATATTCATGGGCCAATAAGTGAGTCATGTGGAGGGCACCTTTACTTGTAAGTGATAGGCAGCTATGGCAAAATGTGAAGAAGTCTTTTAACCTTCCCAGTATCCATTCTCCTTACTGCCTCACAAACATTTGATTTAATTCAGCTCATATATATACTACAGTTTTGTTTTCAGTTGTTGTAAAGGGCAATGTTAAAACAGGCACTGTAACGATGTCATCCGGATGGCTGTAAAATACACCAGATTTAACTATAAAAGAAACTACACTTTATTCAGCCGCCATGACACCGGAAAGCATGGCCCACGCAATTATCCATAATCCTTTGCAAGTTTACAATGTCTGAGAACCTCCCCTAACACAACTTCCAGTTAACAGTACTGTCAAAACATTACAGGCACTTTTTTGAATGCAGAGAGCTGTGACCTGTGGCGTATACAATGTGTGCAATAGGAAGTATTCTTAATGAATTGTAAAATTTCTTTGTTCTTTATTTAACACAACAGACCTGCATGTCATTCTCTTGGTAACCTTAATTCATGCTGTCACTGTGGGGAGGTACTGTATCCTTCTAATAAAAATGCATATAAATAGAGTATATTACATGGCCATGTGGAGATCCAAAACTTCTTTTGAATTGTTGAAAACCATTTTTTTTTTTAGAGAGAAAGCACTACAAACAAGTGAACACATTAAGCAGCCATGTAATACTCAACATATTATGTAAACACCAATGAAATACAAAAAACTTCAGTTCTTTTGGTTTGCTTTCAGTGCATCTGTCTCTCTTATTTATTTGAGATAAATTAAGAGGTTCTTCTCTGAATATTTGCACCTTTATTAGCATACAGCCAATGCTTGATAACATTCACTGAGAAGTGATTGCTCATATTGTTTGGCTTGCTTTGTTCTAGGTGCAGTAATTAATTCAAAAGATTGTACGTTCAGTTCTCTTTTATCCAAACCTGGCAAATTGAATTTAGAACAATGTTGAGGTCATATGTGGCTGTTTTCTTTGTATTGTAATTCTTTCGTTTGTTTAGTGATACACCTGTCAGTGTGGTGTTTAGATTAAGGAATGTGACCATTAAATGAAGAATCTTTAGATTGACAGTTAGTTTTATGTTTCACTCTGAAAAAATTTGTCAAGACTTCTTTGACACACGCAGGCACCACTCTCAAAGGCACTTCTTGGAAAGGGGCAATTTATTGTGTAACCATATCAATGGTGAATAGGATAGTTATTTATTTGATTAAATTTACTTTTTATGTAGGAGGCAGTTGCTGATTATGTGTTCCTTCCTTGTTTTCACAAGATACATCGTAACTGCTATTTTATCCGTATACAAAGACACATGTAAGTGAAACTGTTAACCTGTTTTTTCTTGTTTGTTTTTGCCTAGTGTCAGCATTTAGGCCTTTCAAAAGATGGGCATGCAAATACTAATGCCAGGATTATAACTTTATTGCCAAGTAGTATTACCATTTGGCCATATCATAATTATATACTTTATTTATTGTTTATTTTTTATTTATTTTTGTATGCTGTTTAAGCTATTTATATGGTTGAGCTTCATAATGTAGAATGAATTACTGACAATAACTGAAAATTATTGGAGTTGAATATTATATTGTAGAAATATATTTAAACCATTGCATTATGGAGGTTGATATACTAAATTTGCATTTGTTCAAAAAAATATCATATCTTAAATGTGCATGGGGAATATACCATTTATATCTTCTCATGTAGATGTAAAACCTTGTGAGAGAGAGAGAGAGAGAGAGAGAGAGAGAGGTGTTTTTCACAAAGAGAACATGCTATTTTATTGTTATAACCTATAAAAGAAACAGAAAATCACCTGTCTGCCTGAGGATGCAAATGTAACTTCTCATGCTGATGATGTCTCTGAATCATTTGCATTTCTTACTCATGAGGGATGTCATCAATGCTCACAGATAGAGTTTGTATTCACGTGTGGCCTTACAACATCCCCTTTGTGTCAACAGAATGTTGTAGGCAATTATTTCTGCTGCTAGCCTACTGATCTGTGTCAAGGGTTTATTAATCATTGAGTTTGTTTTGATGGAAAGGTGTCTTTCTGCTTTGTAGCACTATTTTTTTTTTGTAATCTATATCTCTTTCAGGCGGACCTGCCCAGTTTGTGGACAAGTCTTCTGAGTTATCCATAAAGAAGAATCTGTATTTGGTGGAGAAAAAGACAAAAGATACTCTTTTCCTTGGTTACACCCACTTTGTACCTAACCAAGGTAGTTAATCTGCTCACTAATTACATTCCTTACCCAGATATTGTGAAAAAATTAAAAAAAAAGTAAAAAAGTAAAAAGTAAAAAAGTGAGAGAATTTGGGGGGACCACTCCCTTGGCAATAAATTATGACCGGTCCCCGACCAAGAAAAAAGAAGTGAGCTTTTATGATTGACTAAAAGGAGGGTATTTATTTATTTTTTGAGAATAAGAGCTCATAGTATATACTGTTCGAGTTCTTGATATTTAGCAGATGTTTAAAAGTGTGATCACTAAGGGTGAAATTGGAATAAGTGTTTTCAATATTTAGAAAATTGGTGGAATATTTATAGAAATTCGATAATTGAAGATCAATGTTTGTTAAAGACTTTGTATTTCGCAGAAACAGTTTAAGAAATAGAAAAATTTAATACTAGAGTAATCTGTGCAGTACAAAGGAAAAAATATTCATGGGACCTGGTACAATTTTGTTTTAGCTTTCATAAAGTAATTTTTTTTATTGTTAGGATGTAACAGACTCAGTATTTCATTCACTTTCCATTGAATGGATGAAATTTAAATATACAATCAGTTTTAATTAAATTATTTATGTTTGTAAACTAAAGAAGTCAAAAGATGCAAAACAAAGTGCTAGTTAAATGATGAATAAAGATACACTCATTGTTCTTGAAAATGTATTGAGGATCCTCACCGAATTTCCTGTTCTAGAACGATTCACATGAAAGTTTTAACTTAAAAGCGATCAGTTGTACTTATCTCCCTACTCTATCAATTCCATGAATCCTCTCGTTTCATATGCAATGGATAGTGCGCTGGACTGTTGTGCGGGAGGTCGAGGGTTCGAGCCCCGGCCGGACCAACACACGAGGTCTTAAAATAATTGAGAAGAATTTGCTACCTTTCTATAACATCAAGAAATGGTTAGATATTCTAGTCTTCTCGGATAGGGACGAATAAATGGAGGTCCCGTCTCCTGCAGGGTTGGGGTAGGAGACGTTAATTTCCCACACGAGATTACTGTGTGATGGATGTCCTCCCCTGGGGTGGGAAGGTGAGATCGATAGACTGAAGCGGCTGCCAGAGGCGCCTGATATGCTGACGTCTGTTCTCAACCTTACACTGCACCCGTAATTGAGCCTCTGGGCTGCAAGTGGTCAGATATAAACTATATTCGTAACTATATTCGTATATTGCAACATGGCGGCCAATGAGTGTCGGGTAAAGCGTACTCCGAAATCCGTCAGAAGGTGGTCATCTCAAGTCGATTTCCGATTACGAAATCCAAGCTCGCCCGATGTTATCTCCGCGATAAGGTTCTATTTAGCATTTTAGACCCGCAAGATAGAGTAGAATCGAACTCGTACTTCGTTTTCGCTCTGGTATTTGTGTTAGCGCTAAGATATTTGTATTTTTTTTCGTTGGTAACCTGTATTACAGATTCCACAAAATATATGTGATGCCTCCTTTTCACGTAGTTGCGATCGCTACTACAACCTTGTGAAACCTCTACAAGATCTATCCTAAGGAGGACGTTAAAACACCGGAAATGATGTTATCCCATGCGAGCTATCTTAGCACGAGAAAAGGATTTTTGAGCAGAAAAAGCAATCACGCCTAAAACAACTTAAAATCTGCATTTCTGATGAATGAAATTGAACGCAATTTTGTTCAGAGTTTAAGCGACATACTGTTATTTCTAATTTGGTAATTAATTTAAAAATTTGTACATTACATTAATGAAACGGAGGTTTTAAGATAGCATGGATGTATTGTAGTAGGCTATTACTTGTGTCTGCAACGATAATCCACCACTAGTCTCACCTTGAACATGTTCTCTATCTGCGTTGTTCCATGAGATTACTGAAAGTATTTACACTACATTGTAATGATTAAATACTTAGATACGAATTTTCAATCCTAAATGTAAGAGGGTACATGTCTTGGCTAAAGATCTACAATAAACACAGTTTCTTGTCAGTAAGTTTAAATATGGCTCTCTTAATAAAAAGGTTTCTGTTGGCTGACTTGTACATTGATAACTATTACTCTACGGATATATTTCACTCCGATGATTATCTTAGACAATTAATGGCAAGTTTTGAGAATCATTTTTCAACGCTACATGTTCAATTAATGGTTATTTTTCTCTGTCTACTTAAGGGCTCTTTCGCAGCAGCAAGCCAGTCTGCATTTGAACCTTCCGAAATAATTGTTGGGGTACATTTCCTGTGAAGTAAAGGTCCTTGCAGTTACAACATTTCACCCAACGAAAAGGAGATTTCGAGTCTGCCTTTTCCCTCGGCATTCTACACTCGCGCATTACCGATACCTCCTAAACAAAGAGTGGCCTTCCGTCTCGACACTCCGGTACTGAAGAGAGGGGAAATGGAACGAATTCCCCATTTCAAAAACGAGTGGGGGAGTGGGTCGAGTTCGCCGCGGAAGTTTGTCTGGGATCGTTACTCGGGACACAAATCTGTAGTAAACAAAGATTTGTGTCCCGAGTAACGATCCCAGAGAAACTTGCGCGGCGAACTCGACCCACTCCCCCACTCGTTTTTGAAATGGGGAATTACCCACTCTCTAGGCTCTTGATGTTGTCTCATCAGCTTACTCTCAAATGTCAGATTAGAAGGATTGAGGCCGCCTATAGAAGCGACACCAGATTAGCAATAGCATAAACTTCACAGCTCAGTCTGACGTTGCACATTTGGTACAATAACCTCAAAACTGGTTCCTTCCTTGTGTATAATTGATGCAATTTGTTTTTTATACCGGGGCTGCAATTCTTCTTGTAAAAAGGCTGTCGTACAGATAAAATTGTAGCATCCTACAATACATACCAACATCCAGTGATAGCTGCCAGTATCTAGAATTTGTGAAAATTGGCCTTTCTAGTTTCAGAACAGAAAAATCAAAAATCGGCTCCAATGTTATACAGGCGAACCTCGATCAGTTATCCGGACTTGTTGGGAATAGACAAATTAGTCCAAATAATCGTGGAGGGTCCGGACAATCGAGAATATGAATATTAATGAGGAACAAAAACTGATTAAATTAAGAAAGCGACATTTAATCCTGAAACAAAATATTTACAAATCGTTTTGAAAAAGATATGGTCTACATCTTCACTGTCCTACGCGAATACCTCTACACATGTGAATTAACAATTAAATCAGCGAAAAATGTTTTTACATTGGCCTAAAATGTTGAAGTCAGCTTGTCTTAAAGAAGAACATCTCCCTTACTAAAAAGAATATGGCGACGGATCTTCATCATGACTATTAAATATTTATGCTAAAAAAAATTGGGACTAAAGAAAAAGTCCGGATAATCGAGAAATCCGGATAATTGAGGTCCGGATAATCGAGGTCCGGATAATTGTACTTTCCGATCTCCTTACGTGGGGAAACTGCTCCCTCAGAAAAGACTGGGCTGCACCTATAGTATGTGTTGGGAAAAGGTTGAACGGTTTAGGTCGTTACAAGGATCAAAATCCGATGAAACTCAACAAATACTTTAATCCACATCTGTCCAGCCAAAAACTACATACTTGCGAGCACGTCTTACAATCCCATGACTCCCAAGAACAGGACAGGCACGTAACGCGTGCTTACAGGCATCGTGACATTCCTAACAATATGATCGTTAAGCAAGTCTCCAGTTTAGATGATAGTAATATTCTGTCCTGAGAGATAGAACTTTCCGGCCTTTGGGGCACTTCTGTATAAGAGATCTTTACAAGCTAGTTCCTCTTCATCATCACTTTCGTTTTGCTGGGCCAGGTTTGTGTTCATAGTCGCTTCTATTGCATGGATGATGTATGTGTTTGCAGTGCTGGTTGTGCTCGAGGTTGTGTTAACTAAGTAGATGGAGTTTATGTTGGCAGTGATGATGGTGCTTGCAGTTTTGTGAATAGTGACAACAGTGTGGATGGCGTTTTGCTTCATTAGATCTCCTTTTGAGTTCTTTTTTTCCAAAAAAAAAATAATAATGGTTTGATCCTAGTAGTAATAGAAGAGTGTGTAGTCTGATCTTTCGGATGAGGGTGGTCGATTCTGAAAAGAAGTTTTCTGACCAGAGGTAGTGACCGACGTTTCAACAACCGAGGGGATTGTTTTGTCAGAGTCAAGAAGCCTCTCCGGCTCTTGAAGTTGAGAATAAATGTAAGTTCCTTCGTTAACTGAAGGCTCCCTGTTGCCGACACTTCTCACCCCACATCTAAGTACGGTAGATAATTTGCAGCTTATTTTCTCGGAGTGCCAAATCAGAACTGTAAGCTGTGCAGTCTAGCTATCAACTTGAAAGTGTTGAGGTTTCGAATTGATGGATTAATATGATAGTCTTTCAACTAATGGCACATTAAAATAATTCTCAGGTTTGGCAAAAAGATGAAAACAAAACAAACGGCAGCATTGAAGTGACCTTTGTGACCAGCCAAACAAACTCCGATGTACTTATAAGGTTCAGTTTTTCTTTAAGAGTCAAGCCTACAACACCTTCGCGACTTAGAAAGGAACGACAAGGACGCATCAAGACTAGTCTCCAGACACTTTAATTTAAGGAAAGAAGCGCAAAAAAGAATGCCGTAATTCCTCAAATAAGCGCCCCGGTGCTTATTTTGGATTGATTCTTAAAACATAAACCAAAACTGCAACATTATCCACGCCGACGTAAAGTCAATATTGACACTTCTGTTTGTTTAAATAAAAGGGGAAGGACTTACTTGCCTGAAAAGAGGACAGGAAAGAAGCCAAGAAGTATAACGACATTACATATTCAAACTCGCAAAGTGCGTTGACAGTTTAAAGCATGCTGGTCACATTTCGATTGAGCTATAGTTCCTCTTATTAACTGTTTTCTTTAAATTCATCCTAGTAAAGTTACAATCGTTGATATTACTGGTCCCCGAAAGTTAGAGGACAGCCTAATGCTTTGGAAGTTAACGGTCTTTGCCAAAGGCCAATCAGTAGGACAAAAATAAAAGGAGCAGATAACGCACATAGAGGAACTCTGCAAGCACATAGAGATAGAAATAACCGAGAGCGAAAAAGAAACTATTCTCCTTTATTGATTACGCTGTTTACAAAAAAATATTTGGCTCGAAGTCATTCTGTGCGTCATGAACGAGAGCGTCATGTGCGAGGTTCGTGCGTCGGGAACGAGAGCTGAAACAGCTCGAGATATCAAATGATATTGGAGATGTTACTTACTCTGCAAGAAAAGTCGCTGTCTCTCCGATTCGAATCGATAGGGTGATGCCTTCAAAACTGAACAGTAAATGTTCAGGGATTGCTTATGTCTCATTAACTTTCCAGCTACTGCTTAGTTGAACGTCATCTTGCAATTGCACTGTAGCGGTAAGCGGAACATCAAGGCGAAGTTTGTAAGCCAAGAAAATCGCGGCCTGTTAAATTGCACCAAAGTGGGGATATATTACGGAGACGCGAAGTAAATTTACCAGCGAACTTTATTAGAGGTTTATATTGTCTCGTAAACTGAACTCATGATCTATAAATGAAAACTATCTTGTGTAAGAAATACGCGCGGCGACTAACAAACATGGTACAACGAAAAGAGTCTATCTTTTTGTCGAGGGTAGAGGGTCGAGGGTTTCATGTCGAGGGCGAGGGTGCCTTTTTTCACCATTTTTTCTAATAAATAAAGAAAAAGAATTAAATCAAGAACTCACAGAAAGCTCATTTTCGATCATAAATCCGGTTAGATTTCCCGTGTTACTGTAACATCACGAAGCGAAGAAATGTGACAAAAAAAGCGAAGATGTCTTCACAAACGGTTTCACAACATGGGATGTAATCCAGCTGTCAAGGAAACTCTGCTGACAAGTCCAAGCTCAGGCAATGAAATTTCCCGAGCAGAATCGGTCACATTTACTGAATCTACGTTTTGCCGACGAATAATATCGGCAAGCAACAGTGGCCACCACAGTTCCACTTCACGGGTTTCGTAAGTTTTTACGCAAGAAGTGATTGACAGCGGCCCGGGCAAATTGGAAAACAAACCTTGGGGAGTCGCGAGGAATACCTGGTCGCGATTTCCGGTGTCGACTCTTTTGTTTGCGAAACAGATAAGATCGATGTTTGCGCTTTCCCATATTGCAATTAATTCTTTGAAAACTAACCAGGTTTTTTAAAACGAACTGGGATGTCCACAGACTATTCACCATCTCACCCCTCTCCCACTCGCAATTTTTTGGGGCGATGTTCACTTATTAAAAAATCGGATGTCCAAGTGCAATCCGTGTCTTAAAAAATTTTTTTTTTTTTCTTCTTTGATTATTTTTAAATATACGTAGAAGAAGTGACTTGGAATAACTTTTGACGATAAAAACTTGCGACAAAACGTTGCTTGATACCATTGTAAAATTTAAAAACGATAAAAAGCTATAGAAAGCTAAACGCTGAACACAAAAATTCGGCAATTGGCAAGCATTTTCATGTAGCGCATGGTAGGAGGGATCGTTTGAATGATAGTCATTTTAAGATTCTGAGAAAGTGTCAAAGCAAATTTGATTGTTTGAAATGCTTTATATTAAGAAATTCAAACCTAATCTGAACGTGCAAACGGACTCCATACTTGCTAAACTTTTTGTTTAACCCGCATATTATTTTCTCTTATTGTTCGTTTTTAGTATTTATAGAACTTATTTTTATACATTCTTGACTTGATAATGACGTTATGTCAACATCGAAACGTCGTCGATTTTAGCTTTCTATAGCTTTTTATCGTTTTTAAATTTTACGATGTTATCAAGCAACGTTTTGTCGCAAGTTTTTATCGTCAAAGATTATTTTTAATTATTTTTGTTAAATTTGATTTAGTTTTTCTTTATAAATTAGAAAAAATGGGGAAAAAAAGGTACCCTCGCCCTCGACGTGAAACCCTCGACCATTTACCCTTGACAAAAAGATAGACTCCTCGTGATCCTCTTCCAAGATGCAAATTTGATTTCAATTTCCGGTTGCTTTCATCGTATGTCAATCAATTGATTTTCTAGGGTCATTCGTGAATAACGCAAGTAACACAAGTGGAATATATGATGCAATATGCGCTGCTACTGGACAATGTTTTTCAGCCAATGAAATCTTGCCATATATCGATGCAAGATCTAAAAAAAGGGATTGATTGTCACAACATGTTAAGAAATTAGAATTCTCTACTTTTCGTCGAACAAAAATATTGGTTTATTTTGGTCTTCGGTTTATTCATACACTGGTGAGAGTGCTCCAGTCGACATAGCCTAGAGGCAAACAACAATCAGAAATAAGGTAGGGAACAAAACAGTAAAAACCTTATTTCCGGTCTGCCTTATCACGTAGGTTCTTTAACCGCCTTGACTATATTACGCGCTGGGAAAAATGATTGCGGTAAAATTGATTGGGCAAAACCGGAGATTTTTCCTTTACATCGATCATTAGTAGTTTGTGATCGACCATCTGTAATGGATTATGCACCAGCTGTTCATTAATCATCGGTACTGGCGCATGTAGTTTTCGTCATAAAGGGAATCTTTAAGCGTAAGGAAATGATTTTATCACCTATTCTAGTAAAATGAAATAACTTACACTTTCAGAGGATGGTATTTTTCCAAGGCAACTCTTAAACCACGCTTCAGATCAAGTTTTTTGAGAGAATCTTACGAGACTGTGGATAAAAATGTCAAGCTCAGCGATTCATAAAACGTCTCTAGCTTTATTCGACCGATTCGACAAAAGCAAATGCGAGGAGGCTACCACGCTCTAACAATAATTTTTAATTGGCGAGTTCGGATAGAGCATTTCGAACTTCGCAGGCGTGAAAGATACCCCAGTGGTCTTCTTCTGTTATATCGAACCCAATCTTTGATTCTCCGGGCCTTGTCGGGAATATGCCTCACCGAGAGATTATAAACTGATTAAAATTATAATCTCTTGCCACCACTTGGAAACTAGTTAAGGTTACTTCAAACTAGTTGCAGGTCAACTTTTGCCCATACTTTTTTTATTTTTCGATAAAATTAATGGACATTTCCTCTGTCTGCGTAGTACGTTTTTTGGGCCATCAAGAGCCATGGCAATTCTGTGTAGTTCAAGTGAACGCTTTGTAACCCTGTGGTCTTTGCACTGACCAAGAGAAAATAATGGGACTTTATTTTGTCTTGCATAGATACAATGATAAACACCTGTTGCTTCAATTCATAATTTCAGGGTCTGGAAACGTCGAAACGTCGTGTGATGTTTCCAATATTTTATAGCAGATTTTTATTGTAAAAAAGAGTCGGAATAAGGCAGAATTGTAAGATATTGACAAAAATTTCACAAAAATATACCAAAGCAAGAGATTAGAAAGAGAGTATATCTTTTTAGTGTAATTTCTTCGATGATTATAGAGATAAGCGCGCTCTGATTGGTCGAGGACTGCGTCAAATGTCGCTTTAATCACCTTGTGCGTGGCTCGTGCTTCACTTTATGTCGCTTGTATGTCTATGACGCCGATTCTGCAAGCTTTGTCACGTAAACTTGCTGAGCGACGCGGACGTGCTTGCTATGTCATGTTTTTTAGGCACTGGTGTTCAGGTATGCAATACTCCTGGCATGATAAGAGTTTTGAATTATTCGGGGAGTCACGTGAGGAAAAATCATGCATGACAATGCTAAAAGAAAAAAAAATTCGATAAATCACTTGTGAATTTGTTGTTCAGAGATGTAACGTAATTAACACACGCGTGACCAAATCTGTCATTCGGTTACATACAGTCTGAGAAATTTTTAAACGATTGTCGAAGTATAAATCCAGGACGTAACTTATTTTATCCTTTGTCTAAAATTTTTTCCTACTGACAGCTGTCTCGAAAATCTGCCAGTGAGACTTAGAAAGAAACATACCCAGCCAAAAATCTCACATGGTGCAGCATTGTTTTCTTTTACATTTTGCGCATGTCAGCACGTCATTTTCCTTTCATTTACAGTATCATGTTATTTAGGACCGTCTGTAAGCAAACGATGTTCATCGTTTCTAAAGAATGTCACGTGAAAAGATATACAAAAACTGAATGGTAAACGAGACAAATACAAGTCTGAAGGCAGATAGCTTGTTATGACTATCATAGTTAAATATGATTATCATGGTTTTTCCATGCAGCTCAAACCTGGTGGGGTTTACTCGTCCAGACGCGTCGATTGAAGATTTTTGATTTATGTCCCTCTAGTTTTGGGTTGTGATCATAGTGAAGTAGCATTGTTTTGTATCTGCTTGCATAAAGATAAAAACACACCTTCATGCTAACAACCCCGTTTCCCTTCGTTCTCAGGCCCTTTTTGTTTTAGCGTTTCTTACTTGAAAACGTGATGTTTTCAGTATCAGTGCTTTGTTTGACCCGTTACGAAAGAATCACAACTACTTTCTCGGCCATGCAGACGTACCAAGCAAAGCGAAATATTCATTCTCGGGCACGTATGTATTTATTCATGACGCGTCAAGCGTTTTGTGACTTGGAGCAAAGCTGCGCGAGGAACCGTTGAGAAATTGAAACCGTTATAAGGAATAGTATGGAGAACAAAATATGATCGATTTACAACACTAACAATTCCGAAATATGGACACTTAATATTAATAAAACATAGTCACTCTTGGTGTGTCTCTTGTGGTTTCTGGTGATCTCCGGTTATGCCAATGTAGGTTTCTTTGCCCTTGTTGCTGCTCGCAACAGCTTGGTGTACAATACATCAGACAGGTTGACTTTACTCTGCAATTACAGGTCTTTTCAGGTGTTTGCTGGTTGCTAATGAGGGTGGTTTTATTGTGCACCCTGATTTTTTCCTCCGAATACGACATATACGAATATCTTATATTCAGCGTGTTTCTGGTGAAGATTTTCCTCAGTGGATGTTTGCTTTTGGAGCACTCTTCACTTTGTCCCGGAACTTTCTTCCCACATTCGTGGCGACGTTCTTGCTAAAGGGGGAATTGAACCATATGATATTTCCGTCGGCACCTGGCTTTCTTTTCCTGTTGTTGTATGGTCTGCTCTTGGCCTTGCTGTTCGCTGCCTTCGGCTTGGAACTTCAGTTCGAAGTCGTAACCGCTGTCTTCAAGGGCTTGTTGGTAAACCGGTGCCGCTTTATCGAAGGCCTTCTTTTTCGACGAGATCTTGTTAAGCCTTTTATAATCGCCAGTGGTATGTTCTTTATAATGGATGAGGGGGCGATTGCTCTCACGGTGTACATATTGGGGCGTGTTGCCTGGTTTCGTGTATGGTTCACAGGTGCCCTTGCTTAGGTTTAGTGTGACGAGAAGAAAGAAAGTCAACAATTTTTTTGTTGGCCTCTATCGTTATCTTCAATCCGTTTTCGGAGAAAATTTTGCACATGTGCGTCTTGATTTGATCAATCTGTCTTGGTGTTTCGTGGAAGGTACCTAGACCTCTTCAAGGAAATAAAATGAAAGTTCTTGGTCACGGAACTAAGCCTCATATGGTGGTCAGGTTACAAAAATATCAAAACAGGACAAAAAAAAGGCACGTCAAGGTACGCCAGTTATTTGAAATGCAGAAAATGTGAGCCTTTGCTAAGTAAGGAAGTATTGGTTGCAAGTACAGCAGTTTACAAAAACTCCTTACTTGCAGAAACGCCTGGCCGAAAGTTTAGGAGACGACTTGAAGAGCACTATCGAAAAGGTATGTTAAAGTCGCTCTTGTCTTTTGTTGTTCTATGTCGTTAAACGTCATGAATTTGCAAGCAAATACAAAAAATTTGACAGCTTATTACTTAAGACAAAATCTACGTTTACTTTGGCAAGTCTATTCAAATTGTACGTAAAACCATGAAAAGAGTAAGATTACATACTGGAGTGAACAGCTAGACTTCTTTGAGTACTTTGTTGAGAAATGGTCGTGCGATGGGAGCGCACGGCCATTTTGATCCACTTTCCAACTTGTGTGCTCAGTTTAAAGGCGGGCCACGTTTGTCGAGCACTGTCATTTCAGCACAACCACATATTTGCTTTATTTTCAATTGACACTTCAGAAACGTAACGCCGAAAAAGCTGACATTCAATTTTTCTCTGCCAACGTAGGCTAATACTTCAGTCTGGTTCGCCTAGCCAGAAGTTCTTGAATTCTTGGATTGCTCACCACAAGAAGTACTGAGTCTCGTAATGTCGTATCGTTCATTCATGTATGATGTTGAGTTTGAAACAATTTGTGGCAACATAGCGACGAGTCAACCGGTGCCAAAGGCTTGGCTTTATAGCAAGAGTTCAGTGCAAATTTCCTATTCGCGTGCATAATGACATCCTCACAGCCATTGATAACCGTAGAACAGCAATTCTATTACTTTTAGATCTCTCTGCTGCCTTTGATACGGTTGATCACGATATTCTTCTTTCTCGTCTACATGAACGCTTTGGAGTTACTGGCATGCCATTTTTATGGTTCCAAACTTATTTGTCCGATCTCATGCAGTATGTGTCCGTAGATGGCAGAACTTTCGTGAAACGTGCTCTTCAATATGGTGTTCCACAGGGTTCTGTTTTGGGACCCATTCTGTACCTTCTCCACACTTCACCGCTCTCTGACATTGTTAAGAGAATTAACTTGGGTTATTAATTTTTATGCCGATGATTCGCAACTTTATTTATCCTCTCAGTCAACTATACCTGGTGACAAGGATTTAGCCGTGTCTAACATTGAGCGTTGTGTACATGAGATTGATAACTGGAAGTTGCCTAACCGTCTTAAACTAAACAAGGATAAGACTGAATTACTAGTGATCTCTGCTAAACATCAACCTATGCCAACTGTTCAAGAAATCTCTGTCGTCAGTGAGACCATCCACCCCTCACAGAAAGCTAGAAATATTGGTGTTACCTTTGACAATCATTTTCTTTTCAACGATCATGTTGCAAGTATCTGCAAATCGTCTTTTTACCATCTC